TATGTATAGTTTACTTTTGTTTAATAAAGCGCACATAACTAGCCTGACAGCGGGTTAAAAAAAAAAAAAAAAAAACATATTATATTCTATAGCAATATTAAATAAAATTAATTAATTGATAATACTTCACTTAGAAATTAGTTTCTAAATGATACTTAGAGACATGTCCAATAGCATACGATACTTTAATTTAAGATCGATTACACTAGAAAAATTTTTAACGAGTGAACTAAAATACTTGCACAAATAAGTTATTAATTTTAAAAATGAAGTGAATGTCTTGTGATGTAACCGTAAACCCATACGACTAATAAAAATGACCGCACAATAATTGATGAAAAAAATATTATTATATATGTACTGTACTATAAATTTCATGAGAGATCTATAGCATATCAGTTGATCTTCGAACTATACGTTGTACATGTTTCTTAAACTGGGAGTAGCTGTCTCTCCATTCCTTCTGTAATAATAAATATTATTACAATTTAGCAAGTACACAAGAAAATCGTAAATGCAAAAAAATTCTTACAGCAGCTTCAATATTTGCGGGCGATTCATCGTTTGGAGATGAGAGCATTGAAATAACACTCAATAAGATGGTTTCAACTGTATGTACAGGCATCCATCTTTCACCTGCATCTTCGTATCCATACTTGTCTTCACCTGGAGGGTGCTTGTTAAGTTAAAATGCATAATTTTAAAATATTGCGTGACTTTCATAATCAATTAATTTGCTCGATATGTTGCACAAAAAAACTTACTAGAATAGAGATGCACACTTCACCATCAGGATATACTGTTACATAATAAATTAAGAGATTAATATATTAATAATTTAAGATACCTATAGTGAATAATACACATCCTACCATTTGGATGCCACATCTCAGAAATAAATTTCAACCGCGGAGGCATCAAGGGGTATTCCTAACATGACCATAATTTATATAATTATATTAAATATATAATGTGCCTGCTTGATAGTACCTGTGGGAAAGTCATCCTGGCTTTAAAAAAACCCCCTTCGCTAAAATATGAAAATTTTTCGTTAGTGTAACCACTATATATTTTATTAAGTAACGCGGCCTGTTTAAACCAAAATGTATGCTTACTATAAAGTATCAGGAGGACCCATTATCATAATTTCCCACTTTTGAATAGATAGGATCAGAAAAAAAGAATTAAAAACATCGATCAAAATCAAGCTCATACCAAAAAAAGTAAATTATTAATTGCACTTTTTTGACACGTAAAAGTAAGCAAGCAGAACTTCCAACCATCATACCTCGTAAATGTTATCAATGTCTGCAAGACCTGCCGAAAACCCTTCCACAGGGTGTTTCGATATTTCTAGATTCATGTATTCGAAACTCGAAGATTACTAGGATTTCATTAAAAAAAACTTCAACGTTTATTTAACAATACCCTTGAGTTGTTTTTGGAGCAAAAGGGCGGATTGTGAAGTCATTGCTTATTAACCAACAAAGCTTATGGATTTACTAAACAAGAAGCTAAATCAGATTTATAGAGTCGCGACACAGGTGGCATATCTAGGGGTTACATAAATGGTGAATATTTATTGGATACTTAATTTTTAGACATATTTAAATAACCAATCCATTATTTTATATTGCAAAAAACTTTTATTTATTCATTACTTTAAAATTTAGAGATTTTATTAATAATTAATTCTTTCACTATTATTTTCAATTATTAATTCATATCTCTCTTTTATTGAATTTATAAGATTAATTATAATTATATTTAGAATTTTTTCTTATTCTTTTATTATAAATTGTTCTAATTTTAAAAAATGTTGAAATAATCTTATTTTTTTTTTTTAGAATACTTAAAGCCAAGCTAGATTGTAATTTATTAATCAACTAAAAATATAAGTACATTTTTTCTCGAGTGATATGATATATACTATAGTTAAATATTTCTATCAAATTGAATAAACTTAATATAAGCAATAATAGTCTCTAAGTTTAATCTTATGAATAATATTTTACTTTATAATAGTCTTTGAATAAATATTCTTCTAGTTCATCACTTTATTATCAACAGGTTATTACTATTGAATGTTCTATTAAGCCACTGAATTATAGAAAACTATAAAAGAATAAGTTGAATATATATATATATATATATTTAAAAATAGTCAAATGGACTTATAAAAAAATAAAAATAAAAATAAAATAAAATAAAAATTTATAGCTTCTTCAAAGATCTACTTTTCAAGACTTTTTCTTAATAAAAAATTCTGATTAAAATATTTTATGTATTATCTAAAAAAACCTATTACCTAGTAAAAACCTTTACTTCTAATAATATACTTGATTTCTTTAAATAATGATTTTTTATTCACCTATAATAAATAGATAACTTATAATAGATTCAAATTCTTATGTGACTCAGTAAAAATTAAACCATGTTGTTTCAATATAACATCTTTTAGCAGTCATATCTAGTTAAAGAAATTTTACTAATAAATATCTTCTATTATTTAAAAGATCAAATTCTCTAACTATTTTTTTGTTTTGTAATGGTAAGAGAATAAATAGTAAATGAGATTCTTATCAATTACAATGTTCTTCAGCAACTTATAGGAAAAAATTTAGTATAAACTAAAAACCATTTAGTCTTATTGCTTGATCATGATAAGAAAAAAACCTTGGTATTGAACTCTGCCTAATCAAAATAATAATAAAAAAAGATTCTAGCTTAAACAAATAGTAATTTTTTTATTACTTAAAGACTTGTTACTTATATCTTATTGATCTCATAGAACTTGATCTATAGATTAATTCAATTGAAAAGTAGATCTTTGAAGAAGCTATAAATTTTTATTTTATTTTATTTTTATTTTTATTTT